GACCATTTTCAGCAGGGTGGACAGATAAAAGATTAAAGATTAATATTTATCCAAAACTAAGAGCTCTCACTAAGTGACAATGAAAAGATCAATGCTTAAAATGAGCTTAGGTTTCAAATAGGTAATTTGCAGAAGAGCCATAATCAATCATACGAAAAGATGACCAACCAACCTTTGAACAAACTTGTACTCTCCCATCATATGCACAAATAAACTCAGGGATATTAAAGGCTTCATTTAAAAAAATTAAGAAAAATAACATTTAGGTGTTGTGATAGAAAGAATAATGGTCCCCAAAGATGTCCACACCCTAGTTCCTAGAACCTATTAACATGTCACCTTACACAGCAAAAGGACTTCACAGATATGATTAAGGACTTTGAGATGGGGGGATTATCCTGTATTATCCAGGAAGGACCAAGCTAATCACACGGTTCTTTAAAATTGAAGAAACTTTCCTGGCTGAATCAGAGAGATGAGACCAGAGAAGAAGGAAAAGAAATTTGAACATTAAAAGGACTTAAAAGGCCATTGATGGCTTTGAAGCTGGAAAAAGGAGAGTGGCAAGAAGTGTGAGTGACCTCTGGAAGCTGAGAACAGCCCTTGACTGACAACCAGCAAGGAAATGGAGGTCCTGCAGTATAAGAAACTGAATTCTGCCAACAACTCGAATGAGCAAAGAAACAGATTCTCCCCTCAAGCCTCCAGAAAGGGATGCAGTCCTTCCAATGAATGTTTTGATTTCAATCCAATGAAACCTGTGTGTGTCACTTCTGACCTACAAATTGTAAGATCACATCTTTGTGATAGTTTTTTATAGTAGCAATAGAAAACTAATACATGTGTCTGTAGGAATACCTCGTGGAGTGGGGAGAACTTTCTAAATAAAGCAAGATATCCCAAATTTCCATTTAAAAAGCTAAGCAGCTCTGATCTTTTTCTTTATTTTCTTTCTTTATTTTCTTAATTTTCTTTATTTTAGTTTTATTTTTTGAGGGGAAGGAGGCAGTTAGGTTTATTTATTTATTTATTCATTCATTTATTATTTTTTAAATGGAGATACTGGGGATCAATCCCAGGACCTCCTGCATGCTAAGCAGGCACTCTATACCACTGAGCTATACCCTCCTTCCAAGCAGCCCTGATCTTATTTTAAAAACATACGGAAATTTTATCATAAACCAAGTCAAAAATAAGTTGGAGGAAATATTTGCAATGCAAGTAACTTATAAAAGGTCGATAACAATTACACACAGGATATTTTGTAAATTTCTAAAATATTCAGTACAAAAAGGGGAAATGTTTTTAAAAAGAATCTATACAAAGAACACATCCAAAAGGTCAATAGATAAATGAAAAGAGGGCTAGCCTCACCAATATTCAGTTAAGGCAAAAAAAGTAAAGAGAGAGAACTTTTCTCTATTACATTGGCATTTAATAAAGGATAAAAACAGTACTGGTGGAAATGAGAGTTACTGTGGCTTTTAAAGAAAGTTGTCCAGCAACAGCTATTAAAATATACATACCCTTTGACCAGCTCCTAAAAGCTAGCTGGCTGCAAAGGTGTATATATATATATATATATATACATATATATATATACACACACACACACACATACACATACTGTTGCTATTTCATTAAAAACAGACAAATAAGCAAAGAAAGAAAAGTTCTGTGTCTATGTGTCTGTTTTTGTTTGTAAAAGCAAGAGAGAAAGGTCTGGAAAATTACACCAGGCTGTTAACATTGATGACCTCTGAGGAGTGAAGATGATTAGCTTTATTTTTATTCACCCTTTATGGGTCTTGTTTTGTTTTATTTCTACTTGTTACAATGTTAATTTGTATCATTATAAATTCCAAATTTTATATAATTTGGGGGAAAACACAAGTGAAGGATAGTTTGAAACACACATGTAAGCTTTAAAAAGGCATAATGCTTGACTCATAAATTCGTGTTGAAGAGTAAGTGTATTTTAAATGAATGGAAAACTCCCCTCTGTTGCTCCCACTCAGGTAAGGGCTCTCCACAGGGTCCCTGGGCCTGTGTCCTGACAATTTGCGAGATAGCTTCTGGCCTCCTCTCGGTCTTCCTTTCTAGAATATGTGCTCTCTGACTGCAGGACCTGCCTAAGTCCTAGTCACCACTGTACTTAGCAGTTAATGATTTCTGAACGAATCACAGAGGAAGATACCTAAACTGCCAATAAACATACGGAAAAGTGTTCAACCTCACTAATCTTCAAAGAAATGCACATTAAAATCACAATGAAATATCATCTCATACCCATTAGGATGACTGCTATTTAAAACAAAACAAACAACAAGTTTATACTGTATAGCACAGGGAACTATATTCAGTATCTTGTAATAACTTATGGTGAAAAAGAACCTGAAAACAAATATATGTATGTTCCTATATGACTGAAGTATTGTGCTATATACCAGAAATTGACACAACATAGTAAACTGACTATACTTCAATAAAAGTATAAAATTAAAACAGAAACAAAAACAAAACAAAACAAAACAGGAAATAACAAGTGTTGGTGAGGATGTGGAAAAATTAAAATCCCGTGCACTGTTGGTGGGAATATAAAATGGTGCAGCCACTATGGACAACAGAATAGAGGTTCCTCAAAAAATTGAAAGTAGAACTACCCAGCAATGTCATTTCTGGGTATAAACACAAAAAAATTGAAAAGCAGGATCGTGAAGAGATATTTGCATACCCATATTCATTGCAGCGTGAATCACAATAGTCAAGAGGTTGAAGAAAACCAAATGTCCATTGACAGATGAATGAATGAAGACAATGTGGTATATACATACAATGGGATATTATTCAGCTTTTAAAAATAAAGAAACACTATCACATGCTGCAATACGAACGGAACTTGAGGATATTATGCTAAGCAAAATACGACAGTCACAAAAAACACTTACTGTATGATTCCTTATATTATTATCTAAAGCAGCCATATTCATAGAAACAGAAAGTAGGATGGTAGAAGAGGAGGAAAGGTAGAGCCGTTGTTCAATGGATGTACAGTTTCAGTTTTGCAAGATGAAAAAGTTCTGGAGATCTGTCACACAACAATGTGGATATAGTTAACTACTGAACTGTACACTTAAGATAATAAATTTTACGTTATTTGTTTTTACCACTTTTAAAAAATACATGTACGCATGTGAACCCACTGCAACATCATTATAAACTCACCAGAATAACTAAAGGGAGCGAGATAGATAATGCCAGGTGTTGGGTATTGGAAAGGTTATGGATTTCTCGTACATTGCTTGTGGAAGTGTAAATTAGTCAATCACTTTGGAAAAGTGTTAGTATCTAGCAAAGAGAAAGAGATCCCTATCCTATGACCCAGCATTTCCATTTCTGAGTCTCTAAGTGCAAGTGTCCATCAAAAAACATGGGCACAAATGCTCATAGTAGCTTTTTCATAATAGCCCAAACTGGAAACAACACGAATGTCCACCAGGAGAAGAATGGATAAATATATTAGTATATATTCCTACAATGGAATATGACATTAAATGGAATAAGGCCATAAAATAGAATGAACTACTGTTATACACAGCAACATGGATAAGTCGCACACACACAATATTGAGCAGATGAAGCCAAACACCAAATAGTACAGATCATGACTTCATATATGTGAAGTTCAAGGACGGAAAAAACTAATTTATGGTGATATAAGACAGAATTATGATTACTTCTGGGGGGTATGGACTAGAAGGTTATTGATTGGAAGGCATTATAAGGATAGGCTGGGAATATCTTGACGTAGGTGCACATGGGTAAATATGCAAAAATACATTGAGCCACACACTTAACATTAGTGCCTTTTGCTGCGTGTATACTATACACCAATAAAAAGTACAGAAAATAGACTCATTCATGGAAGCACATTTTAATTTTAGCATAATTCTGTATTCATGTTTAAGTGGCTATAGAATAAAATCACCGTTTGGATGCCTTTTTCTCTCAGCAGTGTAAGCTCATCAGAACCTGCAAACCAGTGGAGGACGCAGAGGCAAAACATAAATTATCCAACCTGCTCCCCCATTTCACAGGGGAAACAAACAGAGTCCAAGGGGGGCTGATCTGAGGGAAAGGCTGAAGTTCCACAGTAAGTTAGTGGCAGAGCCAGGCCTAGAAATGAGACCTGAGGCACAGCTTACCCCCTCCCCCAACCACTTGTCAGAAGGGGCTGTGTGATGACTGAGTCTCCAGCCCCGTGCTAGCTGAGAAGGAAGTTTTCCAGTTTGAGGCCAGGCAAGCAGGGCAATTCCTGGAGGCCAGCCAACTGGGAGTCAGGAAGGTGAGAACTGCGATAGTTTGTGGCAGTTTCACTGACGATAGGTTAAGCTGGGACTTCTATTTGAATCTGAGAGAAAAATAGAGAAGAGCTTGTGATTTGGGGGTGATACTCTAGTAACCTGAAGGGGCAAAACACCGAGGGATCCCAAGAGCTGGGATGGAAAGTGAAACTTCTATGCTCTTCCTTTGACCTTGGCCAAGGTCATTCCCTCTGGACTCACCCCTCTTGTTCATTCAGTGGGGGAGAATCTCATTTAAGGTCCAGGGAACAGAAGAAAGGAGGCTGGTAGAAAGGGCAGCTCTCAGCCCGGTGCTGATCCCCAGGCGGGACCCAGCCCCAGGGAGGCAGAGCAGCAGGAGGGGTGCACGGGAAGCCGCCCAGGTCGCTGCAAGGAGCCACAGAAGGGTTGCGGCTCGTTGAGGGACTGGACGGGGGCGGGGGGACGGAGGAGGAGTCCTCTGCTGGAATCTGTCGCCTCCAGCCGAGGGTCAGGGCGCCCCCTCCTCTTCTCAGACTCGTCCGGCCTCGCCCCTCCCTCTCACATTCCCAACTCCCAAAGACAACTTGTCGCTTACTTCAGAAGCCCGGGGCTTCTTTCTGTCCCCCAGACTCTGCTTTCTCCCACTTCTTTTGTCTATTTCTGTGTTTGACGGCTTCTCTGGGAGGCGTTCCTCGTATCCTCTTTCCTCTTGTCTGTTATCCGCACCCCCACCCCTGCCTTTGCCTCTCTCTTTCTCTCTCTCACACACACACACACACACACACACTCACACACCCTCTCTTCTCTCTGCCGGCCATCTCGGCGCCTTTCCTCCCTGGCGCTGGCCTTCCAGAAGCGGGCCAGGCCCTTTCTGGGAACCGCCGCACGGCGATCCGACGGCGCCCCAGGGAGGGGGCAGGTGAGACTGGAGAAAGCTCCGCCTGAGCAGCCCCGGAGGAAGGTGGCGCCCGCGCGGATCCGCCGCCCAGGCCCTGTTCTCGCCCCACGCATGTTGGCGCCAGGGGGACGAGAACGCACGAGTCCCTTCGCGCCCCCGCGCCGTCGGCGCCGCCGCCCGAGACCTAGACGCTGGGCCCAGAGCCCTCCCAGGGCGGGGGCGGGGACGGCGACCCGCCGCCGCCCAGCTCCTGGCCTCGGCGCCGTCACCTCCGTCCTTAAGCTCCGTGGTGCCCAAAGCCCGGGGTTCCTGCAGCCTAGGAAGATGCGCGGAGGACGGCGCGGTCCGGAGAGGTAGGTAGACACTCCCTGTCTCCCCCCAGCAGCTGGGGGCCGCGACCACGTAGCTCAGAGCGGCGGCGTGGAAGACTCCTCTGGGACTGGGCAGTCCCCGGGCCGCACTCAGCGCTGAGCGGCCACGGCAGGCTTGGGCCACGCGGGGCCGCCAGCTAACCTTGAGCTCCAGACCGATCCAGCCTCCAGGTGGGGCCTGGGGCGTCCTCGCAACGCCTGGCGCCCAACCCCCGCCGGCTCCCACCGGACTCTCCTAGCGAAGGTGTCGGGGGCAAAGGTTCGCCTCCCATCCTTCCCGCGCAACTCTGGCTCCTGGGAGCCCGGTGCTGCGTGCAGCCTAAGGCCCTCTTCGCTGGTCTCCCGGCTTACAGCCTCGTATTCCAAGCGGACATAGCCAGAGTCAGGGGCCGGTGGCTCTGAGCGGCCTCGTGGGTGGGGGCCGCTTGGAAAGGGACAATGGTTATTCTTTCTCCGTGGAAATTAGAAATTGGCCTGGAACTCTGGGTCCAGACGGGAACTCTCAGGCCCCCAAGGTGCAGAATCAGCTCTCTCTAGCAGCCCCCTGGAAGGCATGGAGGGAGAATGCTTGGGGAGAGTCTCTTGCTTCTGATCGCCTTTCCATGCAGCAAGGGGACCTAGGTTTCCTTGCCCTTTGGACGGTGCTGAGGCTAGGTGGCCTCCTGCCTGGGAGAGCGTGAATCTGAATCTGAAGGGATGCCAGGCGCCGCCATCTTACTTGAAACACACTCACAAAATAATGCGTGTGCGTTTTTGTAGAAGGGCTTGTTTATGGGAGAGGGCAGAAGGCAGGGAAAGGATCTCAATCTGTATGGACTGGGTCATACAAAAATTACTCACCTTTGAAAAGGCACGTAGAGAGAAGCAGGCATACCGGGGCTGCATGGTAGGTACTGTGGTGTCTCGTAGGAATTAGTAAGCCTCAGGAGTCAGTGAGCCATCCTGTATCAGGGCAGTTGTGCCTCTTAGAGTGTTAAGCACCGTGTAAAGGTTGAGCATTTGTAAAAACATGCAAAAGAGACATGAAATTATGTTCTCCCAATTGTGCTCCGTAATAAAGGTAGCAGGCAGGAAATTAATATTTTCACCTATATATTCTCTCCTTCCAAAGTAGAAGAGTACGTGGTATATCTCACATATTCCACATATGCTAAATTTGGGGGGGAAAGGCACAGAACTGTACTTTTCAGTATCAGTAGAAGTATAAAGACTCATGATTGAGAGGAGGTGTTCTCACAGAGAAAATTCACATTTCTCAGTGTACTTCCCCAACCCTTGGAAGAAGAAAGTCTGAGGCTTTTCCTGATATGATCTTCTCTCCAAATCCCCTTTTGAAGCTGCAGTTCCTCCCTTTTCATAGACTCTGGAGCACTTGACTCCAAGTCCAGAGAGGCCTCCTCACTCCCCTGGCCCAGAGAGGATGAAGGCTCTTTCCACTTCCAACTATATCACCCAGGCTCCCTAGGAGGCAAGTTGCCTGCAGCTGTCTGCCAGGGTTTAGAACCACCACCCCAACACACACATGCACCATACCCATGCACACTGTCCCAGAATAAGTGCAAGGAAGAGCTTTACTAGTCCCAGGCAAGGCACTGTAGGAGACCTCAATGCCCTTAAGAAGAGCCCCTCTCTCTTCCACACCACAACTGGGGAGACCCAGATCCCCCCAGCAGATGGTTGGTAGTCCTGCCTTCTTGCTGCCTTCAGAGGCACTGACCCCATGACTCAGTCACCTGAGAACTTAGTCTCCCACCCACTCTGCCTCCAGCTTTTCTTCCTGGACTGATTAAAACAAGCATCAAGCTTCAAATGCTGTTGGATTCAATGGGAGTTTGAATATTTTAATCTATTGGAACCTCTCCTTCGTCCCCCTCCCTCACACTCTCTTACTCTTGGATTTTGCCTTCCCTTTCTCCACAAACACAGAAAGACAAGAAATCCATGACTTTTCTGGGCTGGGAGGGAAGGGACAGAGAGAAAAGAAGGAATATTTGGCCCATCTAGGCAGCACCCAGAACTGTGATCTGAAGCACCAAGCCATCATAGTAGACCCTGTCCTCCGGTGCTTAGAGGTTATTTGATCCCACAATCCCCCCTTGCCCTAAGATCCAGTGACACCATTTTTTCTTAAGAGGAACTAAAGATTTGGGGCTTCTGCAGTTTTCAAAAAAAAAAAAGAAGAAGAAGAAGAAAAAATTGCTGTAGTTATTTGTGACCAGATGTGGAGGGAGCAAGCATGGGCTCACAGAGCAATGAGGACTGAGCCTTGGCAAGGGCAGGCTTGGCCCCTGGACTGTTCACCAGGTGGAAGTGAGATCAGAGGAATAGAGGTCCAGATCCCTCTCTTGCCTGGCTGCCCTTTGGGCCCCAGTGCCCGGAAATCAGGAATGACTGAAGGAAAACAAACAAACAACAACAACAACAACAAAAAAACCCTGAAAACATCCAAACTTGTAATCTATTTAGACTCCCAGACCCATCCTGAAAGCAGTAGAGAAAATCTGTCCCCTTGACTGATTTGCAACTTCTCATACTTCATTTTGGCAATATGGGGATGGGTCAGCTAGAGGGTTCAGATCTTGAGGTCCAGAGCTCAGTGTCCAGGGAGCTAGATTGCAGGGGGGGTGTCCTCACCGCACGCCCCCCTTGCTTCCTTCTCCTCCCAGAGCTTCTCAGAAGGTGACTAGAGCTCTTTTGTACAGGCATGAAATTCTACAATTTCGGAGGATTCCAGATTCCTTGAATGTCAGGTCAAGAACTCCTATTTGGATTGATCAGAGGAGTTTGTATCTGGAAAATGCTGAGACCAAATATGGTCGTTAATGTAGGTCTTCACTTTTTTCCATTTAGCTAATTCCTTGGTGCTTACCAAGTGGACCTCCTGTGAAAGCACCCAGGCAACAGTTCCTCTCCCATCACTGTCTATTAAGAGAGGAGTGAAAGCCAGTGGGGCCTGAAAATCGGGCCAAATCTCAATGCCTTCTTCCTCAGGATGATGTCAGAGTAGCTAACCTTGGCCCACATTCCATCTTTCCCTTACCTTCTTCTGTCCCCTCCTCAGCCCCAGTTATAGGAATAACAGCCTTTATCTTGCAGGGATAATTAAGGCTAAAGCATCCCTACCCCATCCCATTGCCCATCTTGGGGCAACTCTGAGTCGCCTCCTCCTCAGCCCTCCACTATTCAAGTACTGGGGCTGAATAAAGGCTGAATCTTGACAAGAGTGGAGGTGAAGGCTTAGTCTGAAATAGCCTGGATATTAAGTAATAATGATGAGAAAAATGACTATGAACTCCTGAGCCTCCATCATCTGGAAAAGTTCCTCCTTAAGCTATGGGCAAAACCCTCATCCCAGCCAGACTCTGGACTAGTCAGAATGCCCAAAGATCTTTTGTGGAGACGGAAGTCAATAGCCAGGGACATCCTTTAAAACAATAAAAAGGGAGAGGGTCCAAATTTCTACTCAGTAAACCTCTTACCTCTTTCTCAGTCCATTGGCTCTTTGGCCCTGGGGACCCAGGCTCCTGGGTTCCTAGGTAGACCGTCGGGAATGAGGCTCCTTTGGGGGTTGAGATGTCCCTGCCTTGTGGCTCCTGCCGCGATTCCTGGGAGAGACCGTGTCACTGCCTTGGGACCAGATCTTCTGGGTGTTTACCGGTGGTTGAAGAAGTCGTGGTGAGGGGTTTGGGACTGCTGCACCCCTCTGCCCCAGACTCGGGACGTGCTTGGGACTGCGCGGAACACACCAAGTCCTGTCTAGGGGTCCCTTGCGCTGGGCCAGCGCAGCAGCCCCCGATGGCGCGCACCCCGCGATGCTTGGCTGGGGATCAGCACCTTCGCCTCCGGGCTGGGCACGGAGTGAAGACTTCAGTGCAAGGCGTTGGGCTTCTGAGGGGAGGAGGGCAAGAAGGTCTCCAGGCTGGGAGTTGGCCGGCCGGGCCCGAGCCGCAGCGTTGGCGTCCGGAGAAGGGTCTGGGTCACCTCGGGACTCCGCGCGCCTCCAGCCGCATCGCCGACAGCTCAGGCGCAGATTGGCGCAGCAAGGGTGGGATACGGAAGCCTGAGAGGGCCTCGCGCCAACCCCTGGCCCTCCGGAGGCGAGAGTCGGCTGAGGAATTAGAAAGGAGGCTTTCAAAACCGGCCGAGGTGTCCGGAAGGCGCAAGTTAAGAGGCGAAGGGAGGTCGCAGTTACAAGGTGCCTCTACCTCGCACACAGCAACGCCGGGGACCTGTAGACGCGCAGCCTCTGCTGTCTAATGGAAAGAGATGGGGTGGGATGGGGGCTTCGTCCAGCCGCCAGCGCGGGGAGCCCCTCGCCCCAAGCGGGATGTCGGCGCGCATGGGCCGGCAGAGGCTGGGGCGGGGCGCCCTTTCCGAGGTAGCGTCGTCTTCTCGCTTTTCTGCTCCGAGGGGCAGTCGGTCCTACTCTCTGGGTCTCAGCGCTCGGCTGCCCCCCAAGAACAGTTCATTTGCTCCCTCCGGGCCACTGGCGCCACTTGCCCCCATTTCCCGGCCCTGGATTCCCCCTCCTCAAGCCCTTCCTCCCCACAATTAACAAACGAACTGGAGAAACCCGCCGGGTCCCAGCGGAGGGCACCTCTCTCCTCCCGAATCGGCTAATTAATTAATCAGAGCCTTAAGGAGACTTAGGGTTGTAAATGGCGGTTTAGACCGAGGGGGCGCTGACGAGGTCATTAGCCTCCCGGTAGAGACGGGAAGGGAGACGCGCCTGGCCGCCTCTGCCGCCCCCCTGGGCCCTTCTCAACACGCGGGTTTCGGTCGCTCCACCTGCCCGCCTCGCTCCAGCTCCCGCCTCCTGTCGGGCTGTTTCTCTTCATTCTTTGTCATTTTCACCTTCTCTCTGGACACCTTCAAGGGTCCCTTTGTGTCTGCTTGGATCTACCTGTCCTGCTGTCTCCCGTGCCCTTTTCCGCGCCCAGCCTGGGCTTAGAGAACTTTAAGGTCATGGCGAGTGGCCCTGGTTGGCGGTCTCAGCTCTTGGGCCTCAGCTGCGGCACCGGAGGCCTGGCTGGAGCTGAGGGAGCTGGAGATCCGGGGAAATATTTCCCCTCCCCCACCCCATCCCCCCCAAAGCAAGGGCATTTGTGAGGGGAAAACCGATCCTGAAACTTTCGGTCCTCTTTCGGTATGGACCATTTCGAAACAAGGCAGCAAATGGCTGGAGAAGATCCAGGCCTCAGTGGAGAAAAGCTCTATTTCATTTTTATTAGAGATGTGGAGACCTTGCACATTCCTCTACCCGGGTAAGGGTGCACCGGGTCAGACTGGGCGTGTTGGGCTGTCTTCTCTCAGTTCTGGATCCTCAACACCTGTGAGCAAGTGGCCCTTGTTCTGGGGAGGACCAAGTGACAATATCCATGCGACATTGTAATACACACAATTGTTCATCCGCTCTTTTGTCAGGGTACCCAAGTCTGTTTCGCTGCCTCCCTCAGCGTCACATTTGTGGTATTTGTATGTGAACAGTGAATGAAAGGTTCTTAACATTTTGGGGGTCACTCATTCATACTTTGAAACTGATGAAAGCTATTGATTTCCTCCTCCCCAGAAAAAAGAATGCACTTACGTGGTACTCACCAAATCCCACAGTTTCAGAGGGTTTCAGACCCTTTGAACCCCAAGTTAAGAACTCCTACTTGGATCAATTAAAGAAGCTGGTGTCTGGAAAATGCTGAGACCAAATATAGTCAGTTAATGTTGGTCTTCATTTTTTCCCCTGTGGCTGATATCCTGGTGTTTAACTTTACAAACACCCATGCAGCGGTGTTCCTCTCCCCACCAGTACTGGTGGGGTCTGGGTTCCCAGTGCGAACTGGTCTTTCCTCCCTTCCTAGGACCAGGAAGCTTGAAAAAAGTGGGAAGATCTTTGCTGGGGGAAAGCTGATCTTGAACTGGCCAGGAGTAGGACCAGCCCCGTTGGAGGGAAACAGGACTTGGGCAGCCTCCCAGGAAATCAAAAACACACTGGAACTTCTGGGAAGGTTATGCTATCTGGCAACAACCCCTTAGGTAATGCTGGCTGTGAGCCAGGCAAATGGGGATCAAGCAATACAGTATTCTTTTGTGTTTGATCTACTATTCGGTTTCCTCAGATACCCCAGCTCTTTGTGGGGCTTAGCCAAGGTTAGAGGCTTGGGGGATACTGAACTCTGGGCTAAAAGGGGAGGACATTTGCTTCCAAACATTTTTGCAACCTTGTTAGTAGTAGTCAAACAGCAGGTGGCCCCTGGCGAGCCTGGGGGACCTCCTGGTTTCACACATCCTCAGTGCTGCGGCTTGTTTAGACTTAACTCTTTCTCCACAGCCTCGTAAATGCCTCCTGGCCTTCTCCTCACTCCTTTAAGTTGACCAAGCTAGATCTCCCGGAAGAAAAGCCAGGCTTCTTTGGGGTCTGGAAAGTGAAGAAACTTCCTTCTTCTTGGACTATGTTCAGACAAATTAGGGGAACTGGAAATTATGTTTTTACCACACCCTCCCTCCCCCAACATGCACTCCAAACCTACCTCCCGCCCCCGCTGGTCCTCAACTGCTTACACATTTCAAGCAAATGTGACTAGGGGCAGGAAAGACCCCAACCCATTTCTGGTTGCCCCTCTCTGAGCTGGCACCCCCCAACACCTACCAGCCCCAGTTCTGGGCTGTAACAAGAAGCCCATGATTGGCTAATAGTATTCAGACCCCTGCCTGAAAATAAGAAGAAAAAATAAGCAATTTTCTGCTTGGGACAACTTAAACTGAATAATTCTGGCTGTGAACACCTGACCTAAATTCTTTTAATCAGAGCAGAAGAAATGTATGCCCATTTGTTCCCTACTTTACTAATTAAAAAAAAGCTAATTGGTGTTCTCAGGAACTTCCGACTGAGGGTCAGGAGCCCGTAGTCATCTCTCCTCCCCTCCTCACGCCCCTACGCCCCACCCCTCCCCCGACAAGGCTATCCGCACCATGGAGTTGGCCTCTTTCTGACAGACAATGGGAGGGGGATGCCCTTAGACCATCTGGCTCCTCCCCTGCACCAGGACTTTGGCCCTGAAAAGGCAATACTGCCATTGGCCAGAAGTTCTGGCCCAGCAGGGTTATCCCCCTTCCCGGGCCTCTGGACTAGTTTCTGGGAGCAGAGGCTTCTCACTGGCTGCAAGCAAGTCAGCAGGGCTAACTGGTGGGGTGCAGCTCCCACTGGAGCCCCAGAGCTCAGCCCAGTGCTGGGCACACAGTAGACACTCAGGAAATGTTTATTGAATGTGGAATGAAAGTTCCCACCAGCAAAAGTTCTGTGGCTTGGCTGGGGAGTCCCTGGAGCTCGTGCATGGAAAGCTACATGGAAATAAGCAAGGCCTGGTTTTTCTCAAGCATCTCTCAGATGTTCTGTTTTAATTTCAGCTCTCTGGGACCCCTATTTCTTTCCTACCCATTCTCTAAGGCAGACTCTTGATCACTCCAGCAAAGGGAAAAGGCTCATTGAGAAGCTGGATGAGAATGTCCCACCACTCCCCAGACCTTTTCCCCACCAGATTCAGGTGCTTCAGGCTAAAGGGAGTTTGAACCTGAAATGAGCCAGATAATTGCCCCAATTCTCTGTTCATTGAAGAAGTAGTTACAGGCCAAGGGGTTCAAGGGGCCTTACTTTTATGGACGTGGCTCTAATTCAAAAGAATACATTATACATATACAGGCTGAGATGCACACCCTCCAACCTAGACTGGTTCTCTGGGAACAAAGCAGGCTTCTTCCTCCATCCCCTTTCCCCCTCCTCCACCTCAATTCTCCTCCCCCTAGTTCTTAATAGTTACTATTTACTAAGTGCTCCCTGTTCACCAGGCATTGTGCTAAATCCTAGACACGCTGTGCATTAATTAATCCTTACAACAACCCTCAGAGTTAGGATACCCAGATTTTACAGACGCAAAAACTAAGTTACTTTTCCAGGCATGAAGCCTGTGCATGTGTGCACGCGTGCGTGTGTGTGTGTGTATGTGTGTGTAAAATAATGTTGATATGATATGGGCAGATCTGAATGCTCAAGTGGCATAACAAGGATGGAAATAACTCGACAACGAAAAGATCAAGTTTTTGAAATTTAGAATGTTTTAATAAAATGCAGAGAGTTCCTCCTGCCTGAAAATGAACAAAGAAGTGATGCAATTAACTGGCTAATTCCGAGCCCCAAATGCTTTCCCTTGAAATGGGCGGATAATGAGGCCGACAGTATGTTCGCTGTTGAATTCGCCTGATGTTGCTCCATTTCCACCACTAACTTTTGCGCATCGATTGGGCAATCACAGGGAGACGCACAGCCGCGGCCCGACTCGCACACCCTCACAAGCACACACTCACACACGCACAGAGGAATGCTGACACACACAGACCCGACTTTATCCTGCCTCCGGAGTCTTTTATGACTCAGCCTCGGGAATGAAAATAGAATTTGGAGCGGAATAATGTGCCTGAGGCCGGGTAGGGCGCAGATGCTCCAGATGTGCGCTGGGTAATTAGGCGTCCGCGAGAGTCCCTGCACGGCTGGGAGAGGAGCGTCTCGCGGGGGCCCAGCCCTGGGCAGGCGCTGCGCCCGCAGTCTGCCCCACGGTAGGCACCTGCCTCCTACTGCCCTCCTCTTCCCTTCCTTTCCCGAGAGGGAGTCTCAAGGACCTCTGTCCTAAGAATAACTTTGGAGAAACTTCTCCTAGAGGACTCTGCACTATCTCTGCCTTGGGGGATGGGGAAGAGCCATCCCACTTTCCCCTAACCTCCCCTTCTCAGGTTCTGGTGTCTCTGAGCACAGACTCAAAAGTCTCCAACAAGTCTTTCTCCTTATGCCACTCTATAACTCTACTGGCCCCATCCAAGCCTAGGAAAGCAACCCAACTGCCTGCCCTAAAATGTCCCTCTCTTTGGGGTTTATGGGACAGTCATATATCAGACAACTCTTCTTGTCATCAGGGTCTCTTTTACAAAGTATTCAAACCTTACAATATCCCCATCCAGTAGGTCATTTTCATCCGGGCCTTTGAAGGCCTAAATCACTTGCCAATGATCACACACAGCTAGAGAGGTTATAAGCAACACTGAGCTGACTATGTTCTGAAAGGGAGGGGGCGGGACTTGTCTTGGTTCCCAGCCCTAACCGACGGCTCCTATATCTGCCTCCAATTCCCTTATGTACTTCCCCAAATCTTAAATCCAGAAAACACCAAAATTCCAACATAGACAACCTCCAAAAGGCTGTCTTTCTGGAAATGAATTTTGCTTACAAGAAAGACATTTTTTGTTGAGGTCGTCATAATTTGGAAGAACATTCCACTTGGAGTAGAGGACACGTCCTCCAGCCCTGCTTCACCACTTTGAATAGCTGCTCTGATCTTGGGCTAACCACGTTTAATTTCTTTGGGCCTCAGTGACTTCTTTTGCAAGTTGTGAGAGGGAGTAAAAGATTCTGGCGCTGCCCCTGAGCTGGCTTCTGGAGAGATCAAAGGAGATATGGGATGTGGAAGGCTCCCTAGAGTCGGGGGTGGGGTAGGGGGTGGGGAGAGAATGGAGCCATGATTAGCTGTGGATTCCTTTCCCAGCCCTCACTCGTTTAATCGTGTTTCTCTTGCTTGGCAGAGGGCGCCAAAGGCGACACGCCGGCGGCCAGCTCCAGGCCAAGCCCAGTCCGTCTGCAGGAACCGGCCCCCTTCACTCGGCGCGGGACACCGAGCAGCGCGAGGATCTTCTTCTACGCGGACTCAACGCCAGGGCGCCACCTAGAGGCCTGCGACGGCCTCAGCCTCATCCACCGGCGACTACAGAGCTGCTTCCCCAGCCTCAGCCAGAAATTGCGGCGGGAAATCCAGCTCAGGTCTCAGGAACACTTCCGGCACCTTTGACTTGTCTGAGCAACCCCGCCTTTAATGAACTCTAGGAAGGGACACGGGCCTGGAAGGTCCAGAAATACTGATTTTTGTGACTCCCACTAAATGGAAGGGGGTCTCAATTTCGATTTCTTTGAGGATCCTGTGTTGTACATCTCTGTCTGCATTGCCTCCTCTCACCACCTAAATTGTCCGACCCCCTCCAATTATGCTAGAGTTTTGCTTTATCTTAAAGGAAGGGAGTAGGGAAATTTGCCCCTCAATCTTACAGCTTGGTCATCTACATTTTCAATTTTCTGAATAATTTGGAGATGGACATGCTTTTGGAAAAGTATTTGGAAAGCTTTTGAGGGTGAAAAGAAACATTGCCTAAATGGTCTTTACTCACTGAGTGACCATCAACTAGTGTATGAGTGACATGCAGGCGGGTCCTTGTTGGCACCAGCGCCCCTGTCGGTGGGTGTCTGCGTTGAGCATTTGAAAGTTGACTCTGGGGCCAGGCGAACTCAGAATGAAAAGGCTGCCCAGCATCTATGGGACTCGGTTTCAGGTGCTGGAGGCTCCATACAGAGAGTTTTATTTTTTAAACTGGAATCCATGGCCTCAGCCTGGGTTCTGGAGGTGGGGTGAGGGGAAGCCACAAAGCCCCTGAAAAGTGTGCAAAATGTGTGTGTGCTCAGGTGTGTCATTCTCAGGCTGCGGTCTCTTCAGTTTTTCCAGATTCCACAGAGACCCAGGTCAGCAATGGGCAGGGAGCCAGCACACTGACCTGTCCCTACTGCAGGCCCAGACCAGGACCCTAGGGGAGCAGGAGTGGACAATAACACTCTTGAATGGTGTGGAAACTGCTGCCCCTCAGTTCTGCCCTCCTCCTGTCACTAACAACTCGAAGAGGCAAATCCTCCCTGACAGAAGGATTGACTGCCAGTCTGCTGAATAACATATACTTATTTTATTTAGTAAAAACAAATACATGGGGAAGTGAAGCGAGGGAGCTGGGGCACATAATGAATGAGAAGGGGAGCTGGAGGGGCCTCCCCATGCGTATCCTGAATATGAATGTTGGCATAAACAAGCTACTTCCTGTCCTCCAGCTGTGGGGGAGCTCCCTCCTTCCTCCTTCTGGTGGAAGGAAGGAGCCAAAGGACCTTCCCCACCCCTCCCCAGCTGAGGCAAAGTGAAACTGCCTGCAGCAGAGTTAGCCTTTCAGAACATTTGTAAACTGTAAACTACGGCCTAGCATTTTCCCTGTTCGTTTCCACTTTTCATCCCATTTTTTAAAAATCCCCAGTAGTGCTTTGGGGTCTTTTCTTGGAACGGGAGGTGGTGGAGTTGGCTGGTCACACAGGGCCGCACCTGCGTGTCTGTGCGAGGAAGGTGACAGTCAGTGCACCAAACCCCCACCTGCGTCTGCAGCTGAGCCTCAGTCCTGTACCCAAGCCTTGCCTGGGCCTCTTAGACCGAAGCCTTGATT